TTTATTTTAGCAATATTTTTATATATCAACAACATGACTCGGTTTTACCAGTCCTTTATCAGACATAGTAACTTACATATAAATTCTAAACTAACTGGTAAATAACTACGCACGCAAACTCTCGATTTCCGCCTACATTTTACATCCATTTAATTCAATACTAATGGCAATTTGCCCGTAAAATCTTTGTTGAATGCAAAGAACAGTTCAATGGTAATAGACTGATAATTTTAATACCAATATTAAATAGTTAATTACCCCTAATTCCAGCTCTTTAAATAAGGGGGGTTGACAATATTTTCCATTGAAATCAGGCTTTAAAGCATCACCACATTTTAAAATATTCTTAAATATAAATAAATATTATATTCCTTAAATCTTTTCTTATGTTTTACGCATATAAAATTAAACATATATTATTAATAAAATACAATGTTTTAGTTGTAAACCCTTTGAAATTGGTGAAAAAATAAGCATTTTTGTAGTTTAAACATATGGCCCCCCCCCCTCCCCGTGAAACACAGAAAGTTTTGGCATGAATTTGTAAAACGACAGTCCATATTACCTGTAATAAGGAATTTTTGTTTCACGGGGGGAAAGATGTTTTAAAAATATTTTCCATTTTCCGTTGATTTCTATAGTGAAAAACACAAGTTTTACCAAAATTATAGAATTATCTCTCTTTGTTTTCCCAAAGAAGTAATGTTTTATGAAAATTCATATAAATATCTATATAGATATGAAAAATCAATCAAATGTGTTAACTTTTGAAAAATTGACTTGGAGGTAGGCGGGAGAACAATACTATCGTTCGCAATTCTTAACAGCTGCTGGCAAAGGAATGTTCAAGTAACCTTGGTACATATTGAAAAACATTGACTTTCAGCTATAAACAGTAAATCAAACACAAGGAAAATTAACGCAGTTTTCTTTTTGTTATGCCCCCATAACCGAAGATTCGGGGGCATATAGTTTTTGGTTTGTCCGTCTGTCTGTAAAACATTATCCTGACCCATAACGTTTATTATTTGGTGCTAAGGCTTTCATGTTTTTCCTTCTTGCAACGCTTTTCTTTGGATACCAACATATTTGATCTCTTGACCTTGACCTATGAATTTGATGTACTTTTGCAAAATTTTATCAAGTTTTAAGCTTGACCATAGCTTTTTAATGGTTGGAGCTAAGGTTTCTATATTTCACACTTGTATTCCATGGTAGGACTTTCAGAAATCTATTAGTTTTTTTTTTTTTTTTTTTTTTTTTTTTTTTTTTTCGTGTTAACAATACCATTTCGTTCGGTACCAACATTTTTGACTTCATGACCTTGACGTTTGAGTTACATGAACGTTTGAAAAAAAACTTTAACATTACCCATAACTACTGAACGGTTGATGTTAGTGCTTACATATTTCACTTATGCATTCCTTGTGACAAAACCTTTCCTTTAAACCATTATTTTTTTGTATTCCATGCTAGGACTTTCAGAAATCCAGTTTTTTTTCGTATTAACAATACCTTTCGTTCGGTACCAACATTTTTTGACTTCATGACCTTGACGTTTGAGTTACATGAACGTTTAAAAAAAAAAACTTTAACATTGCCCATAACTAATGAACGGTTGATGTTAGTGCTTACATATTTCACTTATGCATTCCTTGTGACAAAACCTTCCCTTAAACCATTATTTTTTTGTATTCCATGCTAGGACTTTCAAAAATCTACTTTTTTTTTTCGTGTTAACAATACCTTTCGTTCGGTACCAACATTTTTGACTACATGACCTTGACGTTTGAGTTACATGAACGTTTGAAAAAAAAACTTTAACATTGCCCATAACTATTGAACGGTTGATGTTAGTGCTTACATATTTCACTTATGCATTCCTTGTGACCAACCATTTCCTTTAAAATATTTTTTTTTTAACCTCATGACATCGACCTTGGAGTATGACCTACTTTTTGAAAAATTTTAACCCGGCCATATTTTCTGATTGATTGGTGCTAGGGCTATTATATTTCATATGTGTATTATTATGGCAAGATCATTCTTTAGGAATTGCATCGTACTATTCTTGACCTGTTGACCTTGGAGTTTGAACTTCATTTGAAAAAAGAAATCTTGACATTGAGGTGCCATACGGTTCCATTTTTTACAATTCTAATGCACAACATTAAATTAATTGTTACCTGTGCAAAGGTGTGAAGGTTCGGACTGAAGCATACAAAGATATTAAAAAAAAAACTGATTTCAAAACGTAACAAAAATTCAATTATTATGGCCATAATACACGAATTTACGTATCCTTAAAACTGTGCACTTTACTCAGGAGCAGTATTACGTGAACTTTTATTATAGGCCATTATAATTAATCTATACAACGTGTTATCTGATTGATTCTAGACTGTCACGTGACAGGGCCATGAAACTTCATATTTCCCTGTTGTCATCATGCTTATCATCATATTCATTCGACCTCTGCTGGTGGACTGTTAGTCCCCTAGGGTCTAGGATGTCTACAGCCCAGTAGCTAAGTACTTCGATACTAGCTTGAGATATATATATATATATATATATATATATATATATATATATATATATATATATATATATATATTGCTGCGGTAAAATTAAGAAATTTATTTCAGAATTAAGGATGATTTCCCTCATGCATAACTCTGATCCTTTGACGTATTTGGCTCCAGTCTTTGGCACCTTTGATTCAGCTCTTCAAAGTCTTTTAAAATTAAATATTTCGGATTTCCAACGTTTTGGCATGACCATCACTGAAGAGACATTATTTGTCGAAATGCGCATCTGGTGCATCAAAATTGGTACCGTACATGTACATGTATATAATTTACATTATGACCCCTGGGTCGAGGCCTCTGCTGGTGGACTGTTCGTCCCCGAGGGTCTCTACAGCCCAGTAGCTAAGGACTTCGGTACTACCTAAAAATACGAATATATATTTAATTGCGGTGGTAAAATTAAGAAATTTATTTCAAAATAAAGGATTATCTCTGATCAGTCGACGTATTTGGCACCTTTTTTCCAGCTCTTCAGTCTTTATTTATTTAATATTTCATGTGATGTATGGATCAATCACATTTACGTTTCAAACTATATAATTTACCTGATTAATTTTATCACAGAGAAGTACAAATGAATGAATTTCCTGTTTTTAAAAGATGACCAAATGTCCGATGAGCTTCTTTCTTGTCTTTAAAAATTAAGATTTCATTTCGGATCGCCCCTCCCCCTACTCCAAAAGAGGTTTTTGTTTGTTTGTTTGTTGTGTGACGCCTCTCTCGAGAATTTTTCACCCATATGGAGACACCACCACTTTCCGGTGGAGGGCTGCAAATTTATACCTACATGCATATTCGATACTTAGGGCCATTGAGCAGTGAGGGATCTTTTTCATGTCAGCACCTACTGCGACATGGGACCTCGGCTTATACGGTCTCATCCGCTGAACCGGTCTTCACGTCCCGCAGTGGATTCGAACCTGCGACGTAAGGATCAGCTCCTTACTCTGCGACTCTAGAGCAGACGCTCTAACCACTTCGCCACGCGGGCGACCCCCCAAATAGGAATAAATTGTGAAATTTTATTCTGTGATCAATAATATCAATATTTGGACTCAATATTTGATGAAGATAATAAGGATATCGGCTCGTTCATACTGTAAAATTCAAACTCAAATGACAAAGGAAATATTCTATACCTAAATATATCCTTCAAACATCTAGCTGAAACTCCATTTCCTATTATTATAGTAATTTTTAATCGATTTGTACAACCTGTTTAACTTGTAACCAGTGAAGCCAAGAATGATTTTTTTTAAATTACACTCAGGCACATGTACGTGGTTTTTTTGCTTTGTTTCAATTCATTTGTAGATTTAAGCAAACCTGATTCATGAACATAATTGTTTATACATGTATTATAACTGTACAGGAAGTGCAGAATTAGACAGTAATAAACTTACAGTGCTACATATTGGGGGAAAAAGTTAAATCTGTCGATTGTTACCAAGCTGTGCACGTCAGTTATTACTTCATAAGTGGATGTTGAATTCTGTAGAACAGAAGAACAAACGATCAAAATACAATCTACACCATATTGAAATTGTCTGTGTAAATTTCGTTATCAGAAATTTATTATAACGATTTTATATATATATATATTATCATGAAGCGCTCTTTCACTGCATGAGGACACAGGTAAAGGTATTTTGAAACTTTTAAGGTAGGTTAGATTGGAATGGAATTTTCCCAGGGAAGTTCGATCCTAAGCTTTTGAGTAGATTTTTGTCTGGACCTTCATTTCTAAAATTCTGCATCATATTTAAGTTCTTGCATTAAATTCGGATTCTTCAATCAAATTAAACTATATTCAATGAAAAAATTAAATCCCATACAAATAGGATTAAGCCAGGAACTATACTTTTTGTCGGAAGGTTATTTTAAAAGAAAATGATCATTTTTTTTTCCTTTTGATGTATTTACAGTACTGTAAAGTGGATAAAAAAATGTTTGAGGGAAAACTTAGAAGATGTGAATTATGATTAGTACACAATTTCAGGTCATATTAAATGTACCGTGGCGCCTAAGTAAGCATACTGACATCCATATTTTGTTTTGGTTTTAAATTAAGCTTTGTGTGTAGCCACTAAAAACATACTTGACAAAAATTACTTAGACTTTAAATACCAGGATCCAACCTTGTTAAACTCTTGGTAACACTAGTTTTTCGTGGCAATATATTTTTCAATAATTAACATCTGTCACGAGGACAATAAAGACATTGTTCTTTCCCATTTTTTTTTCAAATTCAAAGCGTCAAGTAATTCTTTAAATATCCCTTGTTGTGCATTTTTATGTCAAATTTATAAAAAAAAAAACAACTTTTTTTTTAAATGGAAAAATTAGTTTAAATGCTCTTGTATATTGACAGGACGAGTTATATAAAAACACGGCGGAAACACAAGGAACAGAATGAATATACACATTCTTATAGTGATTCTCCTTATTGGTATTACAGATGGATCTAAGGCCTGTAAAGGTTGAGAGAGAGTACAAATTTAATTTATTTAATAATCATGACATTTTGTCCGTTTTTAATTTTCATTGCTATTCAAAATGTAATAAAAGCTCTGTTTTTATAGTTGAAGTCCTTTTTATATTTGTACATGTATTACATAATTGTACCTTACAAGATTATACTATCTTACAGTAAGGAATGAAAGGCAATCAGTGATATTAAAAAAACAATGTTGACAAAAATCAATGTCGAAAGTTTGTATAACTACATTTGCTTCTGTCAGTAGTGTTCACGGACGTTTTAGTCACAAAGAAAGACGAAATGTCGCCTGCATGCTTAGAGCATCAAATAACACAATTGTTCCGTCAAGTTAAAAGAACAACCGTAGTTTGTTTTTTGTTTTGTTTATTATTTTACCCCATTTTATTTTCAAGGTGATTGGCAACTTGTGTTCCATGCTGTGAGTGGAAATGGAGAAAGCGTTTTGGATACATGGAAGACTAAAAATACAAAATGCGATATGTTCAGTAAAAACTGTCCTTGTTCAACTACGAATGGATGCCTTCCCCAAAATCTACGACTCGAAACTCTTGGCGTTGTTCCAAGAAAAATCTTACGAAGTCCTTTAATAGATTACTGGGACTGTCTCGATGTCCATCAGGTAAACTAAATTTTAAATAAAATGTAAGGAACCACAAACCATCTTTAGGGTAATATTTACATGTGTGTACCACTATGTCTTGAGAATAAAAATATACTTCATTTGTCTTACAGTCATTTTGTGAGGGAAACAGTATTTATAATGATTATGTATTTTACTCTCATTAAATTTTGTTTAATAGTTTGCCATAAAAATTTAAGGTCAAATTGGAGTTGAGCACTCGGGGTAAAACTGTAGCATATATTGAGTTCAATGGACGTGGCTCCAACTACATGAATTGGTTTCATAACAGCCGAATATTAAAGACTAGCTGGACGGACATGAAGAAAAGTGGGACTTACAACTTTTTTTCAATTGACAAGTGCGCATTTTTAACCTTTAAAACTTCAATAAATTTTATCTCAGCATTTTTTTTGTAAGATATAGAAAATATAAAATCATTCTTTCATTTTTTAAAGCGTATTTAAGATTAACATATAGTGTTGCCTTGAAAGTAAAAGAAATTATTTTAACATGAGCAATGTATATCCTTCTAGAGAAACACGATATAGTCGAAAATTTTTCATCAATCAAAAGTACGGCGGATGCCATGTTGATAGCGGCTGGTTTGTTGTTTCGGATGTGAAAGGTAGAAAACCTTGTGAATGGGAGAAACAAAAGCCGTATCCCCAGTTTCTATATAGCAGATATCGAAAAATTACGAAATGGGGTGATAAAAGTAAGCTTTTTTTTTTCAAAGTCATGAAAGGGAAATACATGATAAACCTGCTTTTTACATCAGTATTTCTCTTCATATTATGCTTATATAGGAAACATAATAAAGGCATTGTACGTTATCTATTTTGACTCGTAAAGTATTCTTATTGTCTTTTTAAAACTTGTTTCAGAATATGGAAAAGCAGATGTTCTTAATATTTACATTCGGAGAGGATGAAAATTAATTAGCAGTCACATAAACCTGTATTTAATCAATAAACATACTCGGTGTTTACTATGGTGTTTTATTTTTTTTTTTCTTGTTGCGTGGACCCTGAGGTCCACGCAGAAAACATATAAGCGGGGTTAAACCGGATGCCATGGGCTTACGTCAGGCTACGCATGCGCGAGAATGCTAGAGAGTTCGCCTCTTAGACAACTTGCCCTTAAAACAATTCGCCCTTTTCGAATTAGAATATGCCAACCATTAGCAAACCTCGCTCTAAAATCTGCACATCGTATTTATGTCTTCTTTGGCGTAACCAAGATCTGAATTTCTCTTTAATACATAATTTTATCCTTATATACAAACTAAATTCTATTGTTCAAGCATTTTAAATAAGTAGGAAGAACTTAATATAGCTTAACAGCTTGAACATGTTGAATTAAAAATACTAGGTTTTAAAAGATAGTCTTTACCATGTTTACCGGCATTAGTTTTGTGCATCAAGGTTCGCAAAATAATTAGATAGACAGCAATCCAAATATATCTTGATAAATGCCTGTAGCAATGTTTTCCATGTGGGGGAGAGGGAGAACATCAAAAAAAAAAAAAAAAAATTCTGCGTACTACAGATCTGTGCTACACGTGTACCATCTATCTTTCCAATGATAGAACCCCCGTGGGGACCCGGGGTGATAAGAATAGGTCCCTGGCACCCCCTTGCATGTCGTAAAAGGCGACTAAATGGGGCAACCTGTTGGCCGTGAGTTGCGACCCGTGTTGGTGGAGAAGGGGATCCTGGTGGCTGCGGGTGCTGGGTGTAATGCACCTGACTGACCAACACTCCACTTGGGCCCCATATTCATCTAGACGGGAGGTCAAGTTTGGCCCGACTTGATCAATCGGCTGGTCACGCCGAGCTTATAATATCTATATGCCTTTAGTATTGATGTTTTTGCAATGTCCTATTCAACAATTGTTCTCATTTTTTGCAACTTACCAATACGCCGACGTTTCCATATTGATATTTAAATTAAGCGGTGGCTTAGGGTCAATCAGGCATATCATGTCTGAGTATAGTTTCTTTGTATCCTCTTGGTGTCGGTCTTACTGGATGTCCGTTTGACTAGATATCGCCCTTGTTGGCGCTCCGAGGCGGGCGGGGAGCAAGGATTCTGAACTTCCTTCGTATAACTATGGCTTCTTCTAAAAAACGTTCTTACCCATCAGATTTAGACTCCTTCAATGATGAGCAATTAAAAACTGTTGCGGAACACTGGCCCCGCTTCATCACACTTGAAGCACAGTTATCAGATCAGCAAAAAAGACTTTAACAAAAATATCGCCTTTTATTATACAAAAAGGCATACAAGGAATTATTGGTACGCCCAAATCTGTGAAAAAATTGAAATCTGGAGCTCTACTTATTGAAGTAAGCAAGAAACAACATTCAGTTTCATTGTTGGCTCTTAAATTGTTGGCAGATATCCCGGTACTCGGAAAAGTTCACAGTGGACTAAGCCAGAGTAAAGGTATCTTGTTTGACAGGGATCACGACCTGGATGGTATTCCTGAACAGGAAATCCAACATGAATTGGAATCCCAGGGAGTGATCTCTGTTAAATGGTTCACAAAAAAGCGTAATGAAATGATTGAACCTACAAACACTTACCTTTTGACATTTGCTATGCCGACTCTCCCAACTAATATAAAAGTGGGACTGTACCAAATGAAAATTGAAACATTTGTACCCAACCCTTTGCGTTGCTTTAAATGCCAGAGATTTGGGCATGGGCAAATGAATTGTAAAGGCTCGGAAACATGCTTCAGCTGTGGTGAGGAGGGGCATGACGGCAAAACTTGTCAGAATGACCCAAAGTGTAAAAACTGCAAGGGAGAACACATGGCGTCTTCAAAACAATGCCCATTGTGGAAAAAAGAAAAAGAAATACAGAAAGTTAAAGTAGAAAAACAAATACCTTATCCAGAGGCAAAAAAACTAGTTAACATGTATAGTGTTCCGACACCTAAATTGACATCTTATGCAACAGTTTTGAAAACATCTTCATTGAAGGATATGTCCACACAGGTCTGCGAGAATGATATTCTCCAACAGACCTCTTCTTCAAAAGTGTCTTTGTCATCTAATGACAAAGGTAAAACGAAAACAGTGACTGCTTCTGCGGGCCCTGCGGCTGCGCCAAAACCTGTAGCTGCTGCTCTATCCAGGCCTGCAGCTACTTCTAGACCATCTGGGAGACAGAACACGTCTCCTTCCAAAAAACAGTTGAGTGATCGGATACCAAAGGGTACAACAGACCCCGTTGCTTTACATAATAAATTCGGGGTCCTTGAAGAAATGGATTTTACAACATCACATTCATCTTCTTCAAAAGACCGAAACCTTTCCCCCAAAAAGAACAATGGGAGGATATCCCCTATCACCCACAATAAATAAAAATGAATCATCCAACAATTATTCAGTGGAATTGTCGAGGTTTTAGAGTTAATTTTAACGAATTATCTTTACTTATTAGGGACCATTGCCCAGTAGCAATATGTCTTCAAGAAACACATCTAAAAGAAACCGATAAGATAAGTGTTAAAAACTATATTATGTATAACCATTTTGCTCCGACTGAAAGAGCCTCTGGTGGTTCTTCTTTGGCAATACATAACAAATATATTCATAGTCAGATAGATTTAAAAACAAATTTACAATCAATAGCCATACGTCTTACTCTTGATAAAACAATTACACTTTGTTCTGTATATATCCCTCCAAATTATCATTTACAGTCTCAAGAATTAACGGAATTAATTCAACAACTTCCTACCCCCTTTCTTCTCATGGGAGACTTCAATGCCCATAATCCGCTGTGGGGTGGTGATAAAATAACAGATAAAGGTAAAAAACTGGAAGATGCTATATCTCACCACAATTTATGTATATTAAATGACGGTTCAAACACTTATTTACATCCAGGAAATGGTTCATATTCCTCGATAGATATCAGTATAGTGGACCCTTCTTTACTTTTAGATTTCGATTGGTCCGTACATGACGATCTGTGCGGAAGCGATCATTTCCCTATCATTATTAAACAAAACAAACCTTCAAACAACAGTTGTATTCAACACTGGAAATTAAACAAGGCTGATTGGACTCAATTTGAATACTTATGTTCACAATATATTTCGGCGGATAAATTTGAAAATCATCCTGACCCTATTCAAAAATTTACTGAAATTTTATTAAACACGGCAAATGAGTGCATACCTAAAACCTCAACGAATTCTACTAGAATCAAAAAACCATGGTTTACAGAAGAATGCGATGCAGCTATTAAAGGTCGCAAAAAAGCAGAAAGACTTTTTCACAAATCACCATCTTCTATAAATCTTAATAATTTTCGGATATTCCGAGCAAAAGCCCGAAGAACTATAAATTACAGTAAAAGAAAGTCTTGGAAAAATTTTGTTTCAAATCTAAATTCACATACACCTATTCACAAGATCTGGAATGCTATAAGAAAAATAAAAGGAAAAGGTTCAGGCGAAAAATATCAACATCTTAATGTTGGAAATCAAATTGTCACAGATCAAAAAGAAATTTCAAATGAAATAGCCGAAGCAATTGCTAGAAATTCCTCGACAAATAAGATGAGCGATAATTTTATAACTTACAAAAATTCACAGGAAAAGAAAACATTAGATTTCACTTTTGAAAACAAAGAATGTTATAATGAACCATTTACTTTCGATGAATTACAAAAATCCTTAGATAAATCCCATGATACAGCAGTGGGACCGGATCAGATTCATTATCAATTAATTAAACACCTTCCAAAAAGCAGCAAAGAATGTCTTTTGCAAATTTTTAATACGATCTGGGAAAAAGGTAATTTTCCACAATCCTGGACACAGGCAACAATTATTCCTATTCCAAAGCCTGGAAAGGACCATGCAGATCCAAATAACTATAGACCAATTGCTTTAACAAGCTGCATATGCAAAACCATGGAACGGATGATCAATGAACGCTTGATATGGTTTCTTGAAACTAATAATATAACAAATATACAGTGTGGTTTTAGAAAAAACCGAAGTACAATAGACCATCTAGTAAGGCTGGAAACCTATATTCGAGATACCTTTGTTAAAAAAGAACATGCAGTATCTATATTTTTTGATTTGGAAAAAGCATACGATACTACTTGGAAATATGGTATCATGAGAGATCTTTTTAATATTGGTCTTAAAGGAAATTTACCCATATTTATCAAGAATTTTTTAAATGACAGAAATTTTAATGTACGTTTAGGGTCTACAACCTCAAACAATTATAACCAAGAAATGGGTGTACCGCAAGGAAGTATCCTTTCAGTCACATTATTTAGTATAAAAATAAACAGTTTAGCTGAAGTACTTAAAAATGACATGCTTGGGAGTTTATATGTTGATGACTTTGTCCTTTGTTACAAATCCAAAAATATGAAATCAATTGAGCGAAAATTACAGTCTTGTCTAAACAAAATACAAAATTGGGCCGAAGAGAATGGTTTTAAATTTTCAAAAAACAAAACTGCATGCGTACATTTCTGTTCTAAACGAAAAGCCCACGATGATCCGCATTTGCAATTAGATGGCGATACAATAAAAGTACTTAAAGAGATTAAATTTTTAGGTGTCATATTTGATAAAAAAAACTGTCCTTTATTCCACATATCAAAATGCTTAAAGAAAAATGTACTAAAGCTCTAGATGTTATTAAAGTTATTGCAAATACTAAATGGGGAGCGGATAAGAGTACTCTTCTTAAACTCTATCGCTCTTTAGTAAGATCAAAATTAGATTATGGCAGTATTGTATATGGATCAGCAAGAACCTCTTACCTAAAAGCGCTTGACGCAATCCACCATCAAGGACTTCGGCTCTGCTTAGGGGCTTTTCGAACTTTCCCTGTAAAAAGTTTATATGTTGAAGCAAATGAGCCACCTCTCGATTTAAGAAGAATAAAACTAACTTTACAATATTTCATAA